TTAAAAAGCAAAGCTTTGTTTAAATTTTATTTGAAACAAGTTGGGTTGTTTTTTAGTGAAAGTTACAAAAATTTTCCGTTTTTTTTTGAAACGCACTGTATATTAATGATTATCATATAACATAATCTTCTTGACTGAATTAATAAAAATTTTTGTTTATTTATTGAATATATGACCGTACTTACAAACAAAATATAAAATATAATAAAAATTTAAATGTAAAAAAAATCGGAAAAAATAAAATTGAAATAATTAATGTTAATTGTTATTACTATTTTATTACGAATAATGAACCCACCAATGTTTAATATCTGTTATTGTTATTGTTATATAGAAAATTTTGGATATTTTGAAGTTGAAATACTATGTAAATAAGTAGTGGCAGTTGATCATTGTTTTGATAAACATTTTGACCAATAAAACTATTGTCAAAACAATTGTTCAGATAATTAGTGCTTGTAGTAATAGATGGATTCTGGCCAGTGATATCACTGCCATCACCGCCAACCACTCCAGTGAAGCCTTGATCAACGAAGCTATTATCGACAATACACGAGTCTTGATTGGTGAAATTAATTTGATGAATTAAATTACCGTCTCCAGAGTTTTGATCAATGTAATTATTTTCGACAAAGTTCTGGTTGTTTTGATGACTGAAATTATTCTCTTCAGGGTTTTGATGAATGTAAATATTGTCTCTGGGGTTTTGATGAATGTAAATATCATCTCCAGAGTTTTGATGAATGTAATAATTATTGTAGTAGTATCCAGCGACTTGGTTGCCGTAATTGTTGTAATTATTAGGAACAAAGTCTTGATTATTAACATTAACATTAACATTAGAACCGATATTATTATTATTATCTTCAGAATAATTTTGATACATTTTTGGTTTTTTATTACGAATTTAGTTTTTTGTTATATATTGGTTATGAATTTATTTATTAAGCTTATTTATTAATTATTATTATTTGTTTTTTAAAAAACAAAATTTTCATTTTCGTGAATAAATGTGTATTTTTATATGTAAAAAAAAAAGAAATAATTCATTAATAGTAAGCAAGTTCGTCACAAACAGGTTTTTAAACTCGTAAAACAAACTTATTACGATGCCCTTTTGATTTATTATTGTATTGTTGTTACTCTAGTTTTTAATATTTAATATTAAAGCGAAAATCGTTTTTTGTTACTATATGCATGACATTCAAAATTTAGTGTAGCGCGTCATATATGGATTCCCAAATTTGGAAGACTATAATTATTAATTTTCGGATAATTATAATGTGTACATTGTTGTAAAAACTATATTTCAGTAAATAAATAATAATAATAAATAATCTTATGGGCCAATATAATTCGTGCAACTGTCCGAACAAATAATTAAGATGATTATTTAGAAAATCTGTGATTTGTTTATAATTCTTATGTTAATCATTTACATTTATTCATATAATTATCTAAAATAAATGCAACGATTAAAATCTTTCTATAATAGAATTTATGGGAATATTGTAATCACTATAGTGATTTGATTTCAGGAATATACAAAGAATTTGAAGAAGCCACCACATCAGAAATAAGCAAAATCATTTTACAAAAAGAAAAAAAATCAAAACATACTTGGGCTCAGAATTACAACATCAACAACAAAAACCATTTGGAACAATATTTCATGGACTCTCATATGTAGAGGACACTTGCCAGCTTTACCAACCAAGCTTAGATAACTCCTCCACCAGTAACCAAACGAAATAACAAGAAATAATCTTCAAGTTAATCCACGCTCTACGAGAAAGCTTTTTCACAAAATCTGGCTAGTGAGGTCAGATTTACAATATGAAACAAGCAGGGAACCAATAAACTTAATTCAAAAAATCGAGAATTTAGAATGCCATAGGATGTAGACCGCAGAAAGAAGATTAAATAATAGTCGATCATCCTAAAGACTTTAAACTTCAACCGTATCATGAATCAATTAAACATCCACTTTCGTAACAACATTAATTATAATAATGCTAATACTAAATTCAAATATAATACTGACATCAACAACAATAATAATGATATATATTACCGTCTAGATTTTTCCTAACAGATGGTTATAATATTCTATTCCAGTTACTTGTAACTAGTTTGCTTATAATTTAAACTAGGTAACAAAATACACCTCATATTTAAATAATAAATAAATAAACAGTTGCAGGGTGTTACCAACTAGTCTTGGTCGCCAAAACTATTTTGAAGAGACGAAAGTCAAAACTAAAATTAAAAGTTATATGTCAAAAATAATCAAAAGTCAATAATCAAAAATCAAAACTAGTTCGACTTATGGCGAAACCTTTTGACTTTCGCACGGTTGCGAAACTCTCTAGTTGATTTAGTTAAAAATTTTTTTTTTAAAAATGATTGACGTTATACTGTACATATCGTTAATGATTATTATTATTATTTATTTTATTAATTTATATACTAATTATTTTCACATTCATTCATCTGATGTTAAAAAAATTGATCTTTCCTTACCTTTTTTTATTTTTTTTTATCTACCACGTCCATCTATCGGAGAGGTTTCTTTTCTTTTGTTTGCTGCGGTTTAACCTTTGATCAACTAACTCCAGAAATAATCAATAACCGAATGAGTGCGATAATAACTAAAAATAACGTACATAATAATAAAAAATAATAAAAAATAAATTGTTTGTTTATGTAGCAAACAAAGTAGTCTATCTGTATATATACAACAAACAAAAATTACACTAGTATTAAAGTGTATGATTATTAAGTAAATACGGTCGTCGCGTAATAAAAATCACATTTGGTCAATGAATGAATGTGCCGTTGCAAAGTTTTTATTCCATTCGCGAATTAGTCATTTTTTTAGATTGTGATTTTTAGATTGTGATCCTTCTTCCCTTTAAGCGAGTTAGTTATTTTTTTGATTGATATATAAACTGTTTGTATTTATCGATCGAACAAAATTCTTTTCAATTCAACAACTCTCTTTTCGATAAACGATAAATAAAAAATAACTATCGACGAAAATATGTTTGCTGACTAAGGTTACACAAATCGCGTCAAGGACAATTGGGCAGTTCCTCCGAAGAAACCCTACTCTTTCTTTAAGAACTTTGGCTACCAAACTAACTAAATTTGAAGTAAATATTCACTATACTACAATTAAACGACATTTAGATAGAATTAGTTATAAAAATTCATTACCAATTGGAACGCCGATGCTTACCGCATCCCACAAGGCTAATCGTGTAGAATGGGCCAAAAACATTTAAATGACAATTGGAACAAAACTATTTTTACAATTACACAATGGTATAAATGTCCAAGACCAATTAGACCACTCCCTAAAATAGACAAAAAATCTTTGCATGGGCTGGATTTTGTAGCAAAGGAAAAACAAGTCTATTTTGTTTTACACAAACAATGGATGCCAATTTTTATATTGAAATCGTTGGAAACCATCTCTCTGAAGTCAATAATATGCTTGGGAAACGTTGGAGATTTCAACAAGACAATGATCCCAAGCATACAAGTCGTATCGCAAAGGAATTTCTTGGCAAAAATGTTCCTGAGGTCGTCGATTGGCCATCTAACTGTCCTGGCCTCAAACCCAATCGAAAATCTGTGAGCTATTGTAAAAAAGAATGTAGAAAAACGTATGCCAAAAAATATTGATGGCTTGAAACTATTTTTAGTCAAAGAATGGGATTTAATTCCAGATAGCTTGTTAATTAATCTTGTTAACTCAATGAAAAATAGATGTACTCTTGTAATTGAAAACAATGGAGAAAGAATCTCTTATTAATTTTATTTAAATAAAATCATATTGTTTCTAGCTTTTATGTAAAAAAAATAAAAATAGAACTGTTACATTCGTTATTAAATAATGACAGTTTTTTTCTGGCCAATTATTTTTGCATATAAAATGAATTTCTCGAGAATCAAAAAAATAATGACGTAATGATGTTCATCTAATCCACCTTTAAATTGACTTTTTCATATTTCTGTATTTAGTAAATTTATGAAGCAAATATATTTGCGTAACAAATATTGTAAATTTACACAAAAATAATTTAGACGTTATGCAAGAATTTTTTTATATAATAGTCTAAATCGCTATAAAAGCGCCTGAAAATAAACCAAACCAATATTTAAGAAATAAAAAACAAAATAATATAATAATAAAAAAATCAAAAATGGATTATCAAAGTTATGACAATGATTTGGTTAATGGTTCTAATAACCAAAATCCTAATCTTGTTCTTTATTCAAATGGAGAAACAAATTTTACTATCTCGGCTCCTATTCAAAACAATCGAAATGCCGAATTTACCGACTTTACTCATGGAAACTTAGCTCACGACAATCTCAATCAACAAGGCTCTTTTAGCGGCTATTCTGTTGGCCCAAACAGTGTGAT